CCCACATCTGAGATTTCCTACATTCGGGCCCCCCTCTTGTATAAGACCCACTACACCCTTTCAATACTTCGGTCACGAATTCTGAGGTCAACCTAAAAATTTCTAGAAATAAAAAAGTCAGATAATAATAAGAGTCCGAAAAAATAAGGGTCAGGAAACGTCTTCAACATAGAAAATATCCTGTAGTCTCTAAAAACCGAAATTCACTGCCGTTCCACGTTGCTCCGCGGCCCGTTGGGCCCCACGTCCCGTTTAACCCCGCATTCCATTCTGCCCCACCGTTTCACTTTGTCCCGCCCTGTCTTACTTGATTTTTTATCTCAAAAATAAAATTGATAAATGAGTAATTATCCATTGAAATAGACAAGTCAGATAAAATATTTGAATTTTGGTAGCCATTTTGAATTTTCCATTGAAATAGACAAGTCAGATAAAATATAGGAATTTTGATAGCCATTTTGAATTTTCTCCGCCACTAACAAAAATTGGGCTGAGATAGGCCACTTAATTACAGCTACCGACATGGGTGGCACCAGTGAGTGAATCCCCCCCGATTGAACCTGACTTTTGGAGATTTTGACCGTCGGAGACATTTGCCGTCGGGGACTTTGACATACACCACAAAAATAGTTAATATTATTATTTGGCTCTAACCCCTCGCCCACCCCCCTTCCGCCCGACTGTCCAAAAAATAATAATTATCGCAAATAATTGATATTATTATTTGGCTCTAACCCCTTCGCCCCCTCCCACGCCGACGCTCTGTTAGAAAAAAATTATGAAAAATAATTAATATTATTATTTGACTCTAACCCCCTCGCCCCCTTGCCCTCCGCCCCTCTGCACCAAAAAAGAAAAAAAATTTATCAGAAATATTTAATATTATTATTTGGCTCTAACCCCCTCGCCCGCCGCCTTCCTCCCCTCTGCTCCAAAAAAAAAAATTTCATCAAAAATAATTAATATTATTATTTGACTCTAACACCTCGCCCATCCCCCTTCCGCCCCTCTGCTCCAAAAAAGAAAAAAATTCTATCATAAATAATTCATATTATTATTTGACTCTAACCCCTCGCCCACCCCCTTCCGCCCCTCTTCTCCAAAAAAGAAAATTTTTATCAAAAATAACTAATATCATTATTTGGCTGTAACCCTTTCGCCCCCTCCCCCTCCGCCGCTCTGTTCGAAAAAAGAAAATTATCAAAAATTATTAATATTATTATTTGACTCGAACCCCTCGCCCCCTTCCCCTCCGCCCCTCTGCCACAAAAAAGAAAAAAAATTTATCAGAAATATTTAATATTATTATTTGGCTCTAACCCACTCGCCCACCCCCTTCCACCCCTCTGCTCCAAAAAAGAAAAAAATTATCAAAAATAATTCATATTATTAATTCGCTCTAACCCCTTCGCCCCCCCCTCCGCCCCGCTGTTTCAAAAAAAAATTGACAAAAATAATGAATATTATTATTTGGCTCTAACCCCTTCCACCCCTCTCCCTCCGCCACACTGGTCAAAACAAAAATTATCACAAATAATTAATATTATCATTTGGCTCTAACCCCTTCGCCCCTTCCCCCTCCGCCACTGTTCCAAAAAAAAAATTATCAAAAATAATTCATATTATAATTTGATTCTAAACCCTCGCCGCCTCCCCCTCCGCCACTCTAGTCCGAAAAACAAATTATCACAAATAATTAACTATGACCCCTCGCGCCCTCCCCCTCCTCCACTCTGCTCCAAAAAAGAAATAAATTTTATCAGAAATATTTAATATTATTATTTGGCCTTAACCCCCTCGCCCACCCCCTTCCGCCGCTCTGCTCAAAAAAAAAAAATTTATAAAAAATAATTAGTATTGTGAGATTTTCCTTAATTTATATTAACAATAATTCCTGAAATGAGGATCTGGGCAATTAAAGAAAGAGGACAAATAAGGGATATTCTAAGAAAATCAACTGTATTTCCTTTAATTACAAATTAGATCGTCAAGAGACGTTAATGAGGCCTTTTCATGAGATCTAGGGGAGTGGGGGAGGCCAGGCAACTTTTGTACATGTAAAAAGAGGGATGATTCTAAGCAAAACAAAAGAGAAGAAGCTAATCGTGTCTAGGGAATTGTAAATGATATCAATGAAGTAATAATTAATCCGATTGGACTCTAAGGGGACTATTCAGAATAAAGTATAGGCTCACCGTTGGGGGTAAATACTTGGGGAACACGGGAATAATGGGAAAAGGGGAAATGTATCTCGTACTCACGACCACGTGGGTGCAACTCGGGGACTTCCGGGTGGCACAACAAAATACTCAATAATTCCAGGGGGGTTTTCTCCAGAGTTTGAGCCTCCGCTCCAACTGGACGACTCCTGGATTCCAATCCCAATGGCTGAGAGGTGCACTAGGATGCACGCCATTCTCCTCTGTTATCAATACTTCTCCAAACACAAAATTACGGGGCTTCTCGGGGAATACTCTTCGGGGCACGTGGGAATACTCGAGGCGGCTGTGTTACGAGTGAATTCTTTCTTCTCTTCTTCCTCTTCTCTTTTGTCGCGATTTCTTCGCATTTCTCCGTATTTCTTTGTTTCCTTCATTCGTCAGATTTCGTACTTGATCGTCACCTGACTTAGATCTCTGCGGGGGGTCAGGGAATATCACACAGGAGCGTAGTCACCTGGGCTGTTGATGATGCGTGTTTTTGAGGGGAGTCTGTGGGTATCCTTCCAGGGGGTTTTGGTTAGTCCAGTTCATAGGCCGGTGATGTTGACTTCCTTCGGGTGGTCTCGCCTCTGCTTCCAGGGGGAAAGGTAAGGGGGGGCGAGGAGAAATATTGGGAAGATAAGGTGGCCACCAGGTGCGGGAATAACAGTTGCGGGAATTTAATATTAGAGGGCTGAGTGCGTTGGGGAAAAATGTGATGTAAAAATAATGAAAAATAAATAAATGTGTCTCGTTACAATATTACTATTTGACTCTAACCCCCTCGCCCCCTCTCCTACCACCACTCTGTTCCAAAAAAAAAAATTATCCAAAACAATTTATATTATTATTTGACTCTAACCCCTCGCCCACCCCTCTTCCGCCCCACTGCTCCAAAAAAGAAAAAAAATTATCAAAAATAATTAATATTAACTTCCCGATCTATCGGGTAGTTATAGTAATGACCCCGGACATCGAATGGGGAATTTTCATGATTTGTCCACGTTTCTTGATGTTTAGAATCATTTTCAATTTTGAAGAATGTTCGTATGAGGGTGTGTTTTTTTTTCTACGTCATGGTCTTGAAAATGCTCTTTACGTACGTTGTGCCCAAGTCGATGAGGTCTTGACGGAAATGACCACGAGCCCAGGTCTCACTCCCGGTTATTGAGACCTGCTTTCAGCTCGGCAAATTGGCAACCCATACGGACTAAAAAACAGACAACGACCCTGCAATTCTTCACTTTTCCTTCCCCTCGCGGACCCACCGTTAGGTATTACTTCGCGAGGGAAGACTCAGCTATTTGCTCTTCCTTCTTTGAACTCAATGTACGTCCCCCTTCCCTGCTGAGATGTTCTGTGTAGGTAGGAGGTTCCATTGGGTTCTGTGTCTATTCTGCAGATTTACGTTTGCGTTCCTCATTCCTGAGCTCCTTCATGACCGTGGTCGCGAAGTTACGCGCTGCTTCCCAAGCTGCCTGTGATGACAGTAAAACTTCCATCAGGTTCTCAGGCAGAGTCTGCCTTCCATGTGTTGCCTCCCAGCTGCTCCGGGCCTCACTAAAACGTGGGCATATTAAGAACACGTGTTCTGCCTCCTCGTCTACTCCTAGGCATGTCGGGTACTTCGGAGAATCTTCGTATTTGAATTTGTAGAGATAGGCCCCAAAACACCCACGCCCCGCGAGCATCTGTGTCAGGTAATAATCAACCTCTCCGTGTTCATGATTGAGCCAGGCATCCACCTTTGGGATCAGGCGATGAGTCCATCTCCCTTTGGTTGATGTGCCTCAATTCAGCTGCCATCGGCGTATGCTGCCTAGTGTCTCTTCTGCCGCCAGTTCTTCGGTGCTCAGCGTTTCTGATCTCTTCCGCTGGTAGAGGGCTCTTCGTTCCATTCCTAGTAGCTCTATCGGTATCATTCCGGCGATGACATATACCGCATCCTCAGATATCGTCCGATATGCACTTGCAACTCTAAGGGCACTCAGCCGATAGACTGGTGCGATCCTGCGGCATGCTTCTTGCAACTCGAGTGCGTCGGGCCAGATGGCACTGCCATATGTAAGCACCGACATTACGACTGAAGACAGCAACGCTCGTCTTCTTTGCTTAAGGCCACCGATATTAGGCATGAGGCATGATAAGCTGGATCTGACTCTAGACGCCTAGGCATCTACATGCACTGCCTGCTGCTTAAAGTTGAGTCGGGTATCGATCATCGCCCCCAGGTGTCGGATGAATGGCTGGGATGTAAGTTCGTTATCGCCGACTCGCAGCGGCTCGTGATGAGAACTGCCTCGGTCTTGTGCTCAGCAAGCTGCAGCCCGACTGAGTCCATCCATCGTCTAATACGCATCCATCGTCTCCTCCAGGGTTTTAGCCACGATAGTTACCGCCACATCATCACCAAAAGCGACGAGTCGCGCTCCGCCTGGTAGCGCCATCTTCAGCAACCCATCGTACACGACGTTCCACAATAGAGGGCCCAGCACAGATCCTTGAGGTACTCCTCCAGTGACTCTGTATTCCCTCGGACCAGCCTCTGTATCGTACTTGAGTATTCGATCTGTGAAGTAGCTATCCACCATCCGTCATAAGTATTCCGGTACGTGCATTCCGGCCAAGGCTTCCAAAATGAGGCTCCACCTGGTTGAATTGAATGTATTCTTGATGTCTAGTGTTGCCACTAGACAGTATTCTTTGGTGCCACCTTTCCATCCCGTGCCGGAAATTGCTCGTTTGGCGGTCTTGACGACGAGGTGAATAGCATCAAGCGTTAAGCGATATCGCCGGAAACCACATTGGTTATCGGCCAGCAGGAGGTCGACGACTTCTTCTATTCTTCGATGGGCAATGCTTTCCAGGATTTTGCCTGCCGTATCCAACATGCAGAGTGGACGATATGATGATGGTTCGTCAGGCGGTTTCTTCCCTTTGGGTAAAAGCACGAGTCTCTGCTGCTTCCTCTTGGTAGGAAAGATGCCCTCTCGAAGGTATGCATTGTATGCATCCAGGAACAGCTTCGGTGCTGCTTTAATGGCCGCTTTAAGAGCGATGTTGTGTACTCCATCAAGACCAGGGGTCTTGGTGTTTCCCACTCTGTCGCAGGCTTCCAGTAGCTGCTCCAGCGTAACTGGTGGAATCGACTCCACATCGCATTCATCAAGATGTTGTTGGGCCTTTTTCGGCTGTTGCGGGGACAAATCCGTGACGATCTTCTCCAGGAGATGGGGGCACGATGGTGATGGCATCGGCTGATTCTTAAGCCGTGTCATGACCACCTTATATGGTCGGCCCCATGGATCACGGTCGACCTCTTCCAGGAGCTCGTTCCAACAGTTCCTCTTACTATGCTTGATGGCCTTGGTGAGCTTTCGCCGAGTCGCTCTATACTTTGCATCCAGGGATGCAAAAGTCGGCTTCGTCCTTGCGCGTTGTGCAGACCTCCTTGCTGAGATGCACTCCTTGCGGAGATTCGCGATTTAGTGATTCTACTAGTGCACCGGCGGTCGTTGGTGCCCAGCGGATTGCCTAGCGGATTGGTGTCCAATGCTACCAGCTATGTGGTCAGCTCAAAACTACTCACTTGCCAACCAATCGAGTTTCTTTTCCTCGTTGCCAGTCTTGTTCTCTCATTTGGTGTTACCTCCCATAGTAAAGCTCGATGATCACTGGCCATGTAGGTGTCACTCAGCTCCCATGAGCAGTTCCCTGTAGTTAGGTTACCACTCACGAAAGTGAGGTGTACGATGGAGCTGGCGTCGCCTTTTGCAAATGTGGATTCGTCACCGCTGTTCAGGAGGACCACGTCCAGCACAGACATGGCCTCCAGTAGTGCTTGACCTTTTGCATTATGTGCGGCCTCACAGTGGTTGAGGTTTACCTACAAGCACGTACTATTGCTTGGCACGGATCTTCTGGAGTGCCTTTTGGTAGACTGGACATTTACTGCTACCAGCGATATGGGCACTATTCTTCGTGGGGTCTTTTCCTGCGCACAGAACGGAGCGGGCAGTTTTCTCGTACTCAGCGGTTTTATGCCCTGCCTCTCCGCATTTGGCACAGAGTTTCGATCGGTCAACATTTGAAGCATTTTAGGGGTCTCACCACTGCCACCACGCGGCAGTTGACCCGGCCAATTCGGATCTTCCCTCGCTCGCCTAAGATCCTCCTTGCGACAGGCGCAGGAAGTGTCACTAAGGCAGCTTGCGTTCCTCTATATGCCCGGCGCAGCGATTTGATGGCCTCCAGTGTGATTTCACTGCTGTCACCGTCTGCCTTCCGCAAGGTATCGAGGACGTCTTCCTTCGAGGTTTCCTCATGAAGGTCTTTGATCTTGAGCTCTTCTTGTGGGCCTTTGTTCTGGACTTTTGCCGATTCTCCAAGAATCTTGGAAACGGCTTTCTCCAGGCCCCGGCTTTCCCTTTCTGTTCCTTTAGACAGGATGATAAGTAGGCCACCTGAAGCCGTTCTACGTATTTTATCGACACACGTAGCTGCTGTTTCATCAGGAACCTCGTTCTTTATGCGACTCAAGACCTCCGAGTACTTCGCTTTTTCCGTTGGCCGTATGATCAGCGCGTTTGGCCGGACCTTCGGCTTCTTCTGGACCTACTTTCGGCTCGGGTTTCTCCGTGGCAGCTTTGGGGTCAGGTCACCTGTCTTTCTCCGATGCTTTCACTTCTGCCAGTCCTCATCCACTTCGGTCTCGTTTTGATTGGTCCTCCCTTGGTTGGGTTTGCCGTTGGTAGGCTTGGCCTTCGCAAACTTCTCAACATCAGGTTCATCCTTGTTCTTCTTGTCCTCCTGACTTGGTTTCGAGACCCGTTTACGTGAGGTCGGAGTCTTCCCCTTTTTGGGTCGCTTGAGCTTATCGGAATTCGTTCCAGGTGAATCACGGTTCCTCTTCTTACTGGTCCCAGGATCCTCGCTCTTCTGGTCTTGTGGCCCTTCTTGAATCTCCACCTCTTTCGATGTTGGTTCATCGGGTATAACTTTCATCGGCACCAGTCGTGCTACCTGGGCTTCGTGCGTCGACCTAAGTCGCCTAGCAGAAGCCTGAATCTTCCTAACAACCTGGCGGATGCCCTCATGTATGGTTCGCTTATTCTTGTCTGTCACCTGGGAGTGCAGATCTCTAATAAGCTGTTCGTGGCGATCCCACTCCTGCTTCTGACTCCTTCCGCCTTTTGGCGTCGTGACGTGTGTCACCTGTCGAGTCTGTGGCTCTGCCCCACTTGTAGCATAACAGACTAAGTGGTCCACCTTTGTTTCATTAAAATGATGATTGGCTCCTCCCATATCCATGGAGCCGGCATCAGCATTAATGCTGATAGCAGGATTCTCCCTCAGCGGGCTACCTGCATCATCACTCATCATGGTTCTACGAGCTGTTATCGGGAGCCTGACCCGGGGGTATTCTAGGGAGCCCACTCTGCACACCTCTTTTAGAGTTGGGTTTCTCGGAAGGTGTTGGTTTACGCCGACGTATTTTATTTAGTCGATACCCTATATTCTGAACGGCAGTTCAGAATATAGAGATTTCTCCTATCCACCACCTGGATACGCGCCACGTTGCAGTACCTTCCAGCCTGCGAAGGTCTCAAAAAGTAAAGGCGTTCCTTACTGAGAGGATCCGTGGTGTGTGTGTGTGTGTGTTTTTTTTCCCCCTCTGTTGGGAGAATGCATTTACGCACGACCACCTGAGGGAGGAAATAGGTGTTTCCCTCCGTCAAGTGAGTGTGGGACTCCGACAGTGACTGCCAATACCCACTAAACTGCAATCAGACAAATTTCCACTAACCTTTCTTCTCCTCATGGCACCACCGTTAGGTATTACTTCGTGAGGGAGGTCTCAGCTGTTCGCTCTTCCACTTTGTCACAGTCTAATGTACATCCCCCTGCTCAACTATGATGTTTTGTGTGAGCAGGAGGTTCCATCAGACTCTTCATCTATTCAGTACTTTTGCGCTTGCGTTCCTCTTTTCTGAGCTCCTTCAAGATCTCGGCCGCGAAGTCGCTCGTGGCATCCTAGGCTGCCTGCGATGACAACATTGCTTCCATCAGATTCACGGGCAGGACCCTGCCACCAAGTACAGACTCCCACTCGGAGCGGCTCGACCTAAAGCGTGGACAGACAAAGAAAACATGTTCTGCGTCTTCGTCAGCACCTGTACATATGGGGCAATCGTCAGAGAATCCTCATGTTTAGATTTATGAAGATACGCCCAGAAGCACCCATGGCCTGAAAGCATCTGAGTAAGATAGTAATTCAGTTCGCCGTGATTTCGATTGAGCCAACCACCTACTTAGGCGATGAGTCCATCTTCCTTTATCCGAGGTGTCCCACTTCTGTTGCCATCTGTGGATGCTCTTCCGTCTTTCGTCTGCTGCGAGTTCTTCTGCGCTCAATGATTCTGCTCGCTTCCGCCGATACAGGGATCTTCGTTCCTCGGCTAGCTCCTCTATGGGTAGCATTCCAGCGATGACACACACCGCGTCCTCAGACACGGTGCGGTAGGCGCTTGAAGTTTTTAAAGCGCTCAGCCGGTACACCGAAGCCACTTTCCGTCTTGTCTCCAGGGTCAGCAGTGCATCAGCCCAAATGGAGATGCCATAGGTCAGCACTGATGTAATCACCGACGTCAGCAATGCTCGTTTCCTCTGTTTTGGACCTCCAACATTGGGCATCAGGCGTGAAAGAGCTACTCGTATACCGGATGCCTTGGTTATCGTGTGCTCCACTTGCTGCTTGAAATTTAGCCGGGCATCGATCATCACCCCCAAGTACCGAATGTACGGCTGGGATGTGAGTTCATAATTCCCGACATGCAGCGTGATTGTCTCTACAGCTTTCCTGCTCGTGATCAATACGGCCTCGGTTTTATGCTCGGCAAGGCTCAGACCCACTGTGTTCATCCAGATGCGGACCGCCTCAAAAGTGATGTCGAATGCGAGTTCGATATCCTCGAGGTGTTTCCCTACGACAACTACGGCCACATCATTCGCGAATGCCACGAACTTCACCACCTGCGGCAACGTCAGCTTCAGCAGGCCATCGTACATGATGAACCAC